GAGCGCATGCGCCCTATAGCAAAAACCTCTCCAAAAAAAAAAAAAAATGGACTGTGGTTTGAATAAAAACGTCTGTGAATACACTGAGTCACTGAATCATACGCTCAAAGGAATGAATCATAGGTGTTGATTTTATTTCAGGAAAACTACTCTAAGACCCCCCCACACACACACACACACACACACACATCATTGGTTGTTGAGGCCTTAGGCGATGGCGCTCCCAGCCACATTATCTGACAGCGCTTTATGAGACATCCCAAGTGAAAACTTCCCACTGGGCCCTTTCTGAAATCCGATTTTCAGAATTGTGAGCAAAAAAGGTGCTTTTTACGAGGCGATAATAGCTGAACAATCTGCCTGTGACTCCGAGGACCCCAGTGGTTGGGCTCATTTGGTGAGAGGAATGTTGCCTGGCAGGAGGAATGCAGCTTCGCTGAGTGGCCACAAGGTCTCTCTCCATACCATCAGGAGGGGCCTGGAGAATGTCCCCAGGACCTCAGTTGGGCCCATCTTCAGCCCTGAGAGAGTTGGGATTGTGGCTGTCCCCCCAGACTTGACGATTCGTGACCACCAGGCATCCCACTAACACCACGTCCCTCTTTCTGTCACCACCCCCTTCCCCGGCGGGGTGGGTCGGCAATGCCTGTTTCCCTGCCCAGACCTACAGAATCCGCAGAGAAGGATGTGGGTGCATCTCCACCCAGTGTGGTGCAACTTCCTCTGGGCACTCGGGTTCCACCCTAAAGGCAGGGTGTCAGGTGGGAGGTGGGCTGGCCGGGCTGCTGGAGAGAGGCCTTACCTCAGGCTGGTTGTTTTCCAACGACTGACGTGTGGCCAGGAGGGGAGACAGGTTCCTGTTGGGTACATTGTTTGTTCCAAATCTTGGCTTGCTATGAGCCAGGACAATTGAGGAAATTGTCTTTTTCTCTTAGATTTTAGAGTTTTCTCCGTAAAAGAGATTTGAGCCCTTGGCCAGGTATGGTCTAAGGACTCATTCAATGCTCCCTTTCATCTTTCGACTTTGTGGTGCGTGCATGTGCACATGTGCATGTGTGTGTGCATGTTACACAAGGTGCATGCCAATTTATCATTCTTTTCCATTGGCCTTTGTGTTTTTTTACCTGCCTGGCTCAAATCTATGATTTTGTTTCAAACATTTGAATTTTTAATGAAGTGATTCTCAAGCCTCGCTTTCGGTTTGGAATTTAGTCTCCAGAATGATGCCTTGTGTTAATCTGCATTTTATTTTATGAACAGAAATATTCATTTCCAGACTTCTGAGTTCTTAGGAGCTCCCTTGCAGTAGGCATGACAGCCGTACAGAGAGGGGTAGAGTTCTGCTCTTCAATGGAGCCCCAGGGCAGACCGGTGTCAGGGCTGAGGTCACAAACGGAAGGACACTCCCACTGGGAGAGGTGTCTGGACTAGTGAAGGTGGCCCTGTCTTCCCATACCTGGTGACCCCATCTCCCCGTACCTCATGGCCCTGTCTCCCCGTTCCTGGTGACCCAGTCTTCCCATACCTCGTGGCCCCGTCTCCCTGTAACTGGTGACCTTGTCTCCTTGTACCTGGTGACCCCATCTCCCTGCACCTGGCGGCCCCATCTCCCCGTACCTGGTGACCCCATTTCCCTGTACCTGGTGACCCCGTCTCCCTGTACCTGGTGACCCTGTCTCCCCGTACCTGGTGACCCCATCTCCCCGCACCTGGTGGCCCCATCTCCCCACACCTGGTGATCCCATTTCCCCGTACCTGGTGACTCCATCTCCCCATACCTCATGGCCCTGTCTCCTTGTAACTGGTGACCTTGTCTCCTCGTACCCGGTGACCCCGGCTCCCCATACCTGGTGAAATGTCACCTCTGTGAGGGAGCAAGTTCTTTATGCCAAAATCATTGACAGGCCAGCTGGAGCAGAGGCTGTCCAGGTGCCTCTGTTTACGGGGAACACGTGGGCACAGCAGGGGACAGGCAGATGCATAGTCAAGGAAGTAAAAGGCGAATGAGAAAAGGAAAGGGAGAAAGGGGCACACGGACACCCTGTGCTCCTAAGGAACCGAATTCTGTGTCCCCTCGAGGTGACGCTCAGGTGCGATCGGAATACCTTCAAGTCATCAGCAGTGAGGTTCGGCTTTTCCAGTTGGACAGAGGCTTCCAGGAATACCCATCCTGTCCCTCGACCAGACTGGCAGGGGCTCAGCGAGGCGCGTCTCTGATAAAAGCGCCA